CAGGTGTGGCGTTGCATGCCGCGTTTGACGGTCGACGGGCAGCCATTTCGCTCACATCTGTTGTAGTCTATCAATGGCTGCAGAGGGTAATCGGTATAAATTGATGTCATGTTTAGGACTAGATGTAAAATAGGAAGTTTGCGCAAAATATCAAGGGTTATCTCTCAGATGTTTTGTTAGAGTAATAAAATTCAACAATTACTCATGTGTATCCTGTAAATAGATTGAAAAACGAAAAAATTCTTTCACACATTTGCAGGAGAGAAAAACGAAACCGCTTTCGAACTTACCGCGCCTGCCCTCAGTCGCCAAAACTCAGAAGAATCGGACACTCGAAGAAGTCCTCCAGAGATTTCTTCCCGTCCATCAGACCGCTCCCAGTGACTCTTCAGAAGATCAGAAATTACCTGATGAAGCGCTCATGGGCCGAAAAGTGTGAATTATCAATTCGGCTATGTCCCCGACACCTACAGCTCGTTTCTGGCTCAGCATGAACACAACTGCATCCCAATTTGACATGCGTTCTACCGTTTTTGCGCAGGACTATTGATCAAGGCACGAACGCTGGATCAAAGTACGTTTTATGAAAACGCTAGAAGTTATTGTAAGATGCATCGGTTGATCAAGACATATTGGCGCGACACAAGAATGAACTGCGTCCGCGCCATCTCCTGGAGCCACCAACATCTCACATCAACATTCTGTTTGACATTCTTCCTGACACCTGTGGAGTGAGGGCGAACACACCTCATGCAACGCAGCCGGCAACACAGAACTCCAGGAAACCAAGCACCATTCCGACACTGCAGTTGGAAAACCTCTCAGTTCATTCCTTAGTGTGTGGGACCTGTAGGCCAGGCGGCCCATTCTGGTATCCCACCTACATTGTTATATCTCTGCTCATTTTCAATTCAGCACATCGGCACTTTGATCGTTTCCGTTTGACCTGTTGTAGCACCTGAAGCAATTAACCATTACCCTCAAGGAGTTTAATGCTTTAATTTACCTGGTTGTAGTCCGCAAGTTGGTAATAAACATTATTATTATCTTCAACGCCTAGGCCATCAGTCTGTTAGGTTAGTTTTCTCGGCTTCCGAATTTTTCATTTCCTTGAGCTACCTTATGACTCCACACAATTGATGGGCTGAGGATTGACTTAAGATGACCGGATAAAGAAGCGATGGAGGTCATATAAATCATGGAACCGCAATTTCGTCTTTGTGTAACGACTTAGACATATTCGCACGGAGAGCGAAAAGTGCAAATGGCGGATGAACTGAGAATGAAATGTTCATATGCTGTCAAAACCTCTTCGGCTTCCTTTTTGATGAGTATACAAAAGCGTTGGAAAAGAAACGAATGTTGAAATGTGTTGTATGCCTTTAACGACCAGTATTTTAACGGATTGAGCTGAATTAGCTTGAATAGTTGCTAATAACGTGAATATTTCTATTTAAAACGACGGCCCGTGTGTTGGTGGCACTTGGTGTTATCCAAGGCGAATGAACACTTGGAGCTATTTCAATGTTTCCAAACGTCTATGTGGCGTGCAACAAATAGTGAACTCTGGTGGAAGTTATTTAACTGATATATTCCTGAGATCATTTGGGATAGCGAGTGGTTATGTAGTTGAAATGTCCCCAATTGATGAACTTTCGTTTCGTTGATTCTTAACCGTTTGATTTCAGGTATTCTCCGCATCACCAAAAAGGTACAAACCAAAAGGCATCGGATACTTCGAGAGTATAGTGGTGGAATGAATGAAGGAAAAAATTGCACTGGATATGGATTTTTTCCGCCTTTATCGAGTACACAAATAAACACCAGTACCGGTGGTGTGGAAACATTTTGTTACCTTCAGCTTTCACTGAACTGTGGTGGAATGAATGAAGGAAAAAATTGCAATGGACATGGATTTTTTCCGCCTTTATCGAGCACACAAATAAACACCGGTACCGGTGGTGTGGAAACATTTTCTTACCTTCAGCTTTCACTGAACCTAGTCCTTGGTGATGGACGAGGAGCACTGTACAGCCGTTCCAACATGATTGTGAACCACCAGCGGTGCTCATTTCACGGAACTCAGAATTTGGAACCCACGGAGTTTAGTCAGCGAATCTCACACCTGCTAAACGGTAGTGCGGTTAAGTTTCCACTTGTACAAGATATGGCGAAATTAACCCTGCATCACAGAAACCGTGTTGCGCGGCTGTATAGTCACTGGTTCTTTGAATGACCAACTCTTAGTCGTGTTATGAGGTGTAGAAACACCGGAAATTCACAGTTATTGGTGCTAAGTGCCAACTTCTTTAGGTGTGCCACTTTTGAACCACAACTTGATACATGATTGCGTGGTATGTCACAGGGGATATCGACCGCGATTTTGAGACAATGAGTCACCGTGTCTGTTACCGACATGGGGATACCAGTCACCTTCCACCCACATCCATCCACGGTTTTGACGATGGACATCCTGCCACGAATACTGACCGCTTTCATACGGTTACCACGGGCATGTTGACCACTGGGCTGCTTTTCATCTGCCAATGATGAGCACTGCGAGCTACAAAATACAGCAAGACAAGCAAATGATTCCTGAGTTATAAGAAACTCCATGCATCAATGGCCGTTTCGTTCTAGAAACGTAAAGATCAGGGTATCAACGCACACTTTTGGACCCACTCTTTGTACGCAGGGCACTATGCTGTCGCAGGAGACACCACTATGCCTGGAGATACAACGGATACGAAGACAATCAGCCCTTTTTACCATCAAACAGGGGATAACCTACCTACCCACATGGTTGAGGAGCCTACGTTTGCTTAAGTCAAACGGGAAATAGACGTAGTGATACGGGATAAACTCCATAATTCGTAGAATGGTTTGGTCTCCATGACCTTATTCCTCTTATCTCACAGTTGACGGGGGGTATCATGGCACAATTTCAGTTTGTGGCCAAGGCGACAGATTGACGGTCTCCCTTTTCTCCAGCTGGAAACGGAACACGTACACGAGCCTTTTCCCTTCGGACGAAGGCTCTCGATTACAATAGTCATAAAATAGCATGGCACGTATGTGGGTGTGGAACAGAAGGAAAGAGATGACCACAAATGGATAAACGTTCTAGGCGGGGAAAAGGTACCTCGCATTCTGGACTGTCGTTCAATCGTTCGAAAAACCCGTATCCAAAGTTCCATATCCATCAGTTGCTGCTTCCAGTGACAACGCATAATCAAACTGCAAAGTGAAGCTGGAACAACTTCCGAAAGATACGAGCAAAGCGTACACGACGCGCATCTATTTAAGCAAAAAGTGACTTTTCGACCACTTTAGGACTATATCTGCTTTTCGAGTTTTTATCCTCTATATTTTACAAAAAGTAGTCGTCCTTCACATCCAGAAGGGATTAGATGATGTAAGATTATGGCTTCCGTTGGCGTATAAGGATGTTCTTCTGGAAGAGTCACAATAAATTACAATTTACTTCACCAAATGCACCATTGTTTTATCATGGATTCACGGATTTATACACGGATTCGGGGCTTTCACTAAAGTTTCTTTGGTCGGTTTCGTTCTTCACTTTCAGCAAATTCACTTAGCTGAAGGCGTAAGTGAAAACGAGCCTAAAAACACTCTTTAATATCTCAGCACTGGGTGCTGAGCTTGCCTGGGCGAGAACTCGCCGAAAAGGTGTCTAATAGTGCGTGGACAATCATCGTAGTAAAATTACTCTGCGCAACAACTAGCCAAAATTTGAACGGGGTTCTAGATGGGGCGTGGACAATCATCGTAGTAAAATTATTCTGCGCAACAACTAGCCAAGACGAAGAAAATTTGGGGCCTAATAAAAATACACTTTCTGGGCTTGAAACTTTTCTTACCATCTACAGCTGTATGATAGTCGGTCAACAATGAAAACCTATTGGCCATACCATGTTCACGCAGGGAATAAGTGAGGATTTTGTCTCTCGTAGGTTACGATACTCCAGGGGAAAAGTTGAAGCACCACATAACGTGTTTCACATTTGATGGATTTAGGACTGGCAGCCATTTTCGTAGCAGTTCGCTAGACACGCTTTATGAGGGTCACGTCCTTCTTGCGCCCTGATTAGACAACTTGGACGACAAACCATTTTCGTAGCAGTTCGCTGGACACGCTTTATGAGGGTCACATCCTTCTTGCGTCCTGATTAGACAACTTGGACGACGAGTCCAAAAAGCTGTCCGACGTAAGCCCCATGTAGTATAGAATAGTATAGAATCATTCTAAGAACGGCGAATGTCTTTTGGGACGATTTCGCATGGTGCTGTGCGGGCATGCTTGAAGAGATCCAGATGCCCAAATCCTTTTTGGCACCTGTCCTCGTGATGTCTTCGGGTCCACACTCACAGTGCGTGTTTCACGTTTCTCGCTATCTTACGCAAAATGACGGTTTTTCGGGATCGACCTGATTGGAGAAATAGTGCTATATCAGGTCCGCTGGATGCCTGTGAAGACCATGATTTTTGTGAACTAAACAGTGTTTAACCGTATCAAATGTTAATGCTTGTGCACTCATAGGCTCCATACAGCATAACAGCGCCGCGGTTGTTCTCTGTCAGTGTCGGCGTTATTATCCGGACAATATGGGTGGCTCTAAGGCTGTACGTGATTTTTATTTACTTTTTGAATCATTTGAGTTGAATTTCTTGCCGTGCCGTCACTCCAGCTTTAATCGCGTCCAATTTGTTTCCTACCTATCTTCTAATTTAATCTAGCGCGGTGACAATTACCGGGTTGCCACATCTAGAAAGAAGACAAAAAAGAACCTTAAAGAAGATGATTTGGCTGATCTCAAGCAGGAATTGGACATGGATGAACATCGTATCTCCTTGGAGGAACTATATATGCGGCTTGCCACCGATCCGGTGAATGGTTTAACTGGGGATCAGGCCAAGTAAGCAGATTCCATGTATGGTAGGGATAATTGTTAAGACTGAGACTTGAGCGTGATGGACCAAATGCACTAACTCCTCCGAAGACAACCCCTGAATGGGTAAAGTTCTGCAAACAACTGTTTGGTGGCTTTTCGCTCCTACTTTGGGTCGGCGCAATTCTCTGCTTTGTAGCATTCTCAATAGAGAGCAGTACTTATGAGGACCCACCGAAAGATAATGTAAGTCAGTCTGTTTGTTCACTTCGTACTCGGTTCTTTAGCTTTTGATGGTTTGTTAAAGCTTGGTTTTCAGCCTAGATGGTTCACATTTTCTAAAACCCTCCGATTGTTTGTAAGTTGATCTCATTGGAACCTGTGAATAATACGTTGCTGTTGCTTTCGTGGATCGTGTGTGGCTATCGGCCGCTTATCGAGCGATTGGCCTCTAGGAAGTATAGACAAGTTTGGCATTGATTTTTCGAAGACTACTTGGTTTGATGTATTGTGCGTGTGTTCATCATGTAGGCATCATGTCCCTATCTGGTAAAGATTCACTTTCTTTGCAGCCGTTATCCACAGAAGGTTGTCTTGATGCCGTGGTAGCCTTCTAGTTTAATGAATTGCTCTGTAACGTTATTAGTCGAACAATGACGACTGGTGGCATGAAACCATCCGGGGGTTCTGTGTGGATGTTATCCCCACTTTCTGTTCCGCTGACATGTTCATTTCATTTGGCATGTCACACGTGGACGATGTGGTTGCGATTTGTAACGCATAGTTCTTGAATAGATCGAGTCGCTTCCGGGATTACAACATAGTCATGAGTGTACGTAACCCCAGACATCTTGTTCTCTCTTCGTCGGGGCGAGATGGCCTATTGGTTACTGCGCCGACTTACTGGCCGGCAGGTCCATGGTTCAAACCTATCTCTGCATACCCCAGACATCTTGTTCTCTCTTCGTCGGGGCGAGATGGCCTATTGGTTACTGCGCCGACTTACTGGCCGGCAGGTCCATGGTTCAAACCTGATCTCTGCATCTCGACTTCTCCTGTCTAGTCTTAGGCAACCTGGCAGTATCTAGGCCATCATGCTCTCTCCGGATGGCATGACACTTAGGCACCCCAGCAAAACGGTTTATCCTTCCTCTGTCCATGTAGTCTGCCTATTATCGCCACATTTTTTTTGGTGGTACGTGCCCACAACCAGCGATAAGCCTAACAGATTCATCTGTGGCATACGGATGACATGTTTACAGACACAATAATAATGACTTGTCTGTATCAGTGTCCCCGGATCATCATTTGTCTATAGTCTATCTTCAAGCATCGTGATATGTTGCTGAGTATGACTAAACAAGATAACAGAAGGGGTAAAAAGAACTAGCAGGTTTAATGGAGCGTATAAGCCGAGTGTTACTTCATTCTCAAAGCAGAATATTCGGATCCACTGATCTATCAGTAAAAGTCATCGGCCAATTGTATGGGAAAAGGTTCGAGAAACTAGCTGATTTTTTGTAGGAATCAAAGTGGCTCCACTTTTATATCCTAGCTTCCAATTTATGGATTGTGCTCGAGAATTCGCACCGTTACTGACATTTCTTACATTTCAGCTCTATCTTGGGATTGTGTTGACGGCTGTCGTGGTCATCACTGGTTGCTTCTCTTATTATCAAGAATCAAAATCGTCACGTATTATGGAGTCATTCAAGAAAATGATACCCCAGGTGAGTATCTTAAACTAATCAGTATAAACTTCCTGGTTTCCGACAATCTTTGACGTCCTGACGGCATTTTTACACTACATGTTCTATATTAGTTACGAGAAAAGCTAAGAAACGTTCTATCAAGAGTTGTAGAAAAGGGGGCACTTCAGTTTTCTTATCATGCATCTGCATCTATTTTAGGGACTTCTCCGGGTTTTAATTATCCCTTATTTTAAACTGCGGATTTACACTGTTGAACAAAGTCTACTACCCATCTGTTTATTTTGGCGTACAAGTATTGGTTACCAAACACTGGTATCTGGTCAACGCGTCAACATTTTCAATTCTGTTCGTGTGGCTTAGGAGCTTGATGCAACTGCATACATTCTGTTGAATTGTCTTGCCGGGCATGTCGTTCGATTATCTGTGTTGGACTTTCTGGAGTTTCCTAACAAGTTCACTACTTTTGTGTCAGTTTCTTAGGTGTCAGAAACTGTGCAACGCGGATCCGTCTCACTGAATATACAAATAAGCTATTGGATGCAGCGTGATCACAACCAAGCTAAATTTCCAACGCCTGCTTTTTAACTTCTGTTTTCGACTTAAGTCGTTTTATTTTCGAGTTGAATGTATCCACCATTGGTGTGTTGAAAACCTGCACGAGGAGTTCTGTACTGGTCACACTTTCAGTTAACCTGTAGGGACTAGCCAGCGATACATTTTCTTCAACTATCATTGCTAGGTACAGAACAATTACTGCGTCTTTGCTACATGCCTTGCGACGGGCTGCTTTGCTACCATACCCAACAGCTACTTCAGTATTGTACACTGGCAGTTAGTCTCTTCCACTGAGGAACACAGTTATGGACAACTTTAGCTTTCGAGGCAAGTACAGCGAAGTTTATACATAGCATTCGATATTTACCACTTTGTTATCGATAGGACAGTTGAGCTGGGAGATAGGAATTCTAATTTAGCAGAAATCTGCTATGGAGCATTCTGTGCATTCATATGCTTTCAAACCTGTGAATAGGGAGGGTCTAATATACACACGAATTTTCAGGTTATCCAAAAGATATAACAAACCATATAATCGAACGGCTCCTTGATGGCAAGGTCGTAGATAGATTTTTGTGCTTATTTTTGCTGGTGTTTCGGCGCATGGCGATATTCGAAGATATGACCCACCAAGTCTCTTCCTGGTCTCAGTTCTATATGTTATTGGATTAGGGTTCTGCATATTTTCAGAAGACGATAGGTGAATTATGCACCGAATTTCGCTTCACTACAGGTCAAGCTGACACGTTTTATTCCCGCGTTTGTAGTGAGCTTGACTCGAGGGAGATGATTGTTTGGGTCCTAGATGACCTCCTTTCCTCGGTTAAACAAATGTACCGCAGAACTACTTCCCATAATGTCATGGCAAACTAGGGGGCGTCGTATCGTAATTTTTCTGATGCTTTGCGCGGAATAAACAGTCAAGATCACTTGTTGTTCCATGAATACCGGTTGCTGGCATACATTTAAATTCCCTTAGAAACGACTAACATGATCCAGCTAGCCCTGTCTAACAGCATTCAGGTTTGGCGAAACATATTCCAACTCTTCACTTTGTTACCGCAGACAGAATTGAATTTTACACATGCAGTCATTATTCCTGGAAACCACCGGTGTTTGTTGATGACATTGTCTAACTCCTCCCATAGACTGCGATGGTAATTCGAAACGGAACAAAAATCGAGGCGCCCGCTGAAGCGCTCGTGGTTGGCGATCTGATTGACGTGAAGTGCGGTGACCGGGTCCCTGCCGACATTCGAATAATATCAGCCAGCTCGTTCAAAGTGAGTGTTGAGTGCAAAGATGCAGTTTCTGGTGGCTTATTTGTAAGGTTTATTTTCCGTTTATGTCAACGAGTTGACTGGAGTTGTGTGCCAGCTTTACCTACAGTTTTCTCGAACCGATCAACTGCTGATTTCCACAATAGAAATCAATGAATACCTTTGTACTAGTATGTGGCCTAATTAGGCTGATGCATTGTACGGTTTTATGACGGGCAGTTTATTTTTTCAGTTACTTTAGTTTCTGTTGGCATCCAACGGTGACTAATAACTTGGACAGTGCACCCTATTGATGTTACTATTCCTTAATGGGATTGTGCTCTGTCATTTCCTATTGAAGTGATCGATATGATTGTCCGTTTGGACGAACATCTAATCCAATCATTAGTCTTACCCGCTTGTTATGTCTTCAGAAATGCCCCACGAAAAAAGGTAGTCATCCCAGAGTTTTTTATCCACTGTTTCCTGTTCAGGATGGTGTTCCTTTCGATTGGCCTTGATGGATTTTACATATGCTTATAAACCACATATCCCAGGCTTCAGCTATCAAAAGAAGGGCTTCGACCGGAGTATAACTAATACTTCAAGTGTAAAAGCGAACTATGCCGCTCGATGTGGCGTTACTGGTATAAGGCTGACATGATTCGATAGTGGATTTGCAGTGAACCAGTCATAAACCGGTTGCAAATAACGTCTTTCATCCTTGTTGGCTGACAGCAAATGAGGAGTGGAGGTGGCGACATACTGAGAACAGTAGCGCGCACCGCCCCACTGTAAGTGTATGTCAATGGTGATTCGGACGTTTAGCAGTTATTAGTGTGCGCCTTACGCATATGCGACGCACGGGCGCTACCGACAACGTTCGGGCCATGCCCTCGGCTGTTTTAGATCCTTAGGAATTCCATTAAGTTGTCGGCGTGATTGAGTCTGCTAGTTGTGTCATTGTCGTGTATATATTGTTCGCATTCATCACTTAGTTTCACGAGTGCCGATGTACTAAGTAGCAGGTATTCCGGCATGCTAAGTACACGTTTAACCCGTCTAACACGCCCACAGAGAGAACTCTGCGAAAAGACATTTGGTTTCATATAACTACTGATCCGAAGTTCCCACAAGGTAAGAACAATGTCTTGAGTGGATTGAAGAGAAGAGACTGATTGTTTACTTCCGCTCGTGATGGACACCAAAAACCGGTTCGATCTTATGTAAACACAAGGGAAGTAGGCCATAATGGCTTGAACTATAATATATGCGTGGCAATCATAAGGTTTTCGACAAATAATATTGCAGTTTGATTTATGCAAACAACACTACTGTGTCGCTTTGTGAAGGACGTATGCGTGGTTGGCTCACTAGGTGTGTTTAATTTGAACCTGGCGTTGCTGCTGCTGAACTGAGGAGTTTTCTTACCTCAGTCGTTAGTGTCTCGAAAATTATTTTTCGTACGTGATGTTTCGGGTAACGAGAAGACAGTCTACTGAAGTATTATCTGAGGAGAAGTCACAATTCCGGTTGCTCCCTTGGTCATTTAGTGAAAAGAACAGCCTGTCAAACGAGAAAAACTATCGCTTAATTCCATGTCCTCGTTGAAAAAAGTTCGAGGGGAATAGATCATGGCGTAACAACTAGGAATGAAAGCTGCTTAAGTTAGCCGCTGTGCAATCTTCGCTTGTTCGCTGCTTTTTTCGGCATTTCTACACAGTTAAGTGCCCTGACGCAACCTGTTTGACTCACAGGCGTGCGAGCCAAGGGCCTTCCGCCGTATTGCGCCAGTTAATAAAGATGTTTGGTTACTTCCTAATGGCGTCTGAATCCGGCTTGATGATCAGATGTTTGTATTTCCGTATGATGTAGGCAGGATGCTTTCTCCGTTTCCCATGGTACTTACCCTCTTTCTTTTCACCCTTCAACTACTTGGTTATACTGCATTTAGGCCGCATCGTCCACCGCTTATGTATTTAGCTTAATGTTGTACACGACGAATGGACACTTGTCAAGCCGCGGACATCCTTTGGGGGATGAACACTTTTATCCTCTGCTCCGCTTACTCCTAACAGTTTTTTACTTTGTGCATGTGTTTTGTCTTCTTTCTTTCTGCACAAACTATCTGCGGAATTACAGCGGTTCTAACCGCTGCAGCTTCGTTCTCCTAGAATAAGGACAATAAGGGAATGGGGCTGAGCGCTGGAGGCGATGACAGATTCAGTCAATTGACGTTGAATAGTTCCTTTTTTGTTCGACAAGGCAGAGAGCGATGGTGCTACACATTGAAGTTGATAGCTTTGATGCATGTTCGTCATTGGCTGCGTGCTGTAAACATATCTGCCAGCACCACTAACCATTGGTTTGTCGTGTTCCGAAGTCAACATCCTGGGAGACCACAGTTACCAACGCCACTGAGTTAACTGGTAGTTGCTTCCATTCTTCGTTGTCAAGTCCCGGCTCGTTTTCATCCGACATGTATTTGGACGAAGAGAGCTCTGCGAGGCCAACGGCCTTCTACCATACAAAGTGTATGGTCTTACCAGTGCAACGTGCGGAGTGTCACTAGCTGATACACCCGAAAACCACTGTTCTCGTGTTCCTAGCGCACTCACACAACGCTTCGGCTGCACGGATGATTAAATATAGAGTCCACAAGGATCTGCACGCAGTGGTGACGTCTCTGATCCTTTTGATGTTTTATCAATGAGTTTCGCATTGCTTTGGACCTGCGTGACTTTTTTCACTGACGAAGAGTCCTATTTGTTATAAAATGTGTGACCCTGTAAAAACACTTTTGCGTCGGGGGATTTCTGCGTTGCTGTCAGTAACTGTAACTCCAAATCCCTGAGTAGGTAAGCCAAAGGCATTTTGTCGGATCGAATTTAGAGCCAGGTGGACACTTATCATGAATTAGGAGAACGCTTTCTTTTTCCTAGGGACAGCTTCACTGTTGCGCGTGCTCCAGTTCCGCTTGCATGAACTGAAGAACACTGTATTGACGGTTTGCCGTTCCTTTTGGTCTGAGTTCACCACGACGGTTCTAGCGGTTTAGTCCACATGACTTTCATGGTGTTTCACTCGCAGTCTGGCAATTCACCTTATGTGAATGATCAGTTTGGATAGTTAAACGTTTCAACCACACAACGATGAAATTTTTGGTGGTGAGATGTGATACAGAAAAGTCGTCATCGAAAGTTCTTTTTCCATTCCGGGACTAGTCTAATATCCACTGCTTAGCCACACTGGTTTCTGTGCCGTCTAGGGATTTGTGACTTCTAGACTTGTGAATGCCTTTTACCGCAAGTCGCCTCGTTTAGCTGTGAAGTGGTCCAAACCTGGTGACGGAGTGCAAGATAAACGAGGTTCAGCTTGTTTTTTGTTCTCTTCGGTTTTCAACCATTTTTCTTTGTTCTTTCTAGGTTGATAATTCAGCACTCACTGGGGAATCTGAACCACAGTCACGCACGGCTGAGTATACGAACGAGAATCCCCTAGAAACGAAGAATTTAGCATTTTTCTCGACCAATGCAGTGGATGGTGAGTTGACGGAATTTCGCAGTCCGTTGTCATCGCAAGCATTATTAGACTAGAAGCATTTGTTCATTGTTGCTTTAGATTCAATGTTTATCTGTTGAAGATTGGACACATTTTCTGGTGTTTCAGATCAGATAAATGAATCAGTAAGCTGGAAGAAAGACACCCTGGCTATAGAGACTTCACAGATTAATCACGTTGATTTTTATCAGTTATTGACTCGAATTCCGCGCGACGATGACTGTTCATTTGGGATAGAAATTCAGCTGTCAGGAAGTGCAGATTACTTGATGTTTTTACCTAGTGGACATTCAAACATCGGTCATGAAGTTCCACTGATGCTGTTTTTCGCTCGTTGACACAGCGGTACCGAGAACAGAAATTATGGATAAGGTGTACGAGCGTGGTACCGTTTGCCACGCATTATTGTCTACAATCCCTAATACTGAATTGAACAAAGATGTGACGTTGATGCTGCCGAACCGAGAATGCTGTAAATTAGGTGTATTTTGGAACGGCTTACATAGTCTTTGTTCTTCGGCGTCTCATCGCGTTCAGCTGTAACACCCTTTCGGTGCCTAACTGCAATGCTACCCGAAGGAAGCACGAGGTCTGGGATTCTACTAGATTGCCCAAGCCTAGACAGGATGTTGAGATGCATAGGTCGGACCATGCGGCCAGTATATTCGCTCTCTAACCACTGAATCGTCTTGCCACCCCCCCACCCCCCCCCGCTATTTCCATCTCATACGTGTGTGATTTCTGTTGCTACTCGCATATTAGTTTGTCCTTCGTAAACTGTATCCGACAAACCTCATTCAGGCAAACGAGGATGATTCACGATCAACACTTGTTTATCCCTGTTTTCCTAGTTGTGGATCAAGATAGAAGTTTTTCACTATGGTATTCCCTCGCTCGATTTAGTTTTATTCAGTTTCTATCCCGTCCAAATTTATCTTGAGTGAAAACGGATGCGGTGGTGTTGTTTATGCCACATAATTACCATATGCTTTCCATCATTAACTCGAACCTTGTGGGTTGGCTAATTCGGTATTCTCCGATACACCTGCAAGGAGTTTGGAAAGAACGTATTTTATGTAGAGCGCATCTCTGCGTATTGATATGCATCACCCATATGTGTTGTAATGGGGTTGGTCCCAACAACCACGCCGTTTCGTTTCAAACAGAAGTTAGTGCTACAGAATAAGCGGAGTTGAAGTAGGGTCGGACGTGGAAATTCTCGTTCAGACCCAACTAAACATGAATCGGGTAGATCTCTTATGTCAATCTTCATGATAGAATACTTTAAACTGACCTCTTGAAGCGTGCTACCAGAAGAGGCAACTTTTAATCAGTTCCAGAAGGGTGCAACTCTATCGACTAATTGATTTTAACGTAAATAAAATGGTGCCAATGGTTGTATTTGATGAACTAACCAAGTGGTTCGCAATTTCTATAACCAAGCTGTGTCCGTTCCACGAAGTCACTAACGTATTTCGCTACGCCGCGATCTTGGGCAATCTATTATCATTACACTCATTCATTCCTCACCGACTTTCTGTGGATTCCAGTTTCTGTAGCTTTAAAAGGTCGTTCGACTTTGGAATCACTGCCATCGGAAGTGGTTCCAGCTTCGTTTTTGCTTTCGTTCAGAATAACAAATGAGCTATTCGGTTGATTTAGACTCAATGAACAGGTTTGCTGTTACGAACTTCCTGAACTTAGGCATACTTGACGTATTAGGACACCATTGACGCATTTACAATACTGCGAAATATTTACACACCGCACACCGAATAGCCTTTCAGTATGAGGTCTCAATGCTCGGCAATAGTAGGCTGGTTTTCAGTACTGTCGTTTTGCGCCCCATTGATACCAATCGCCAAATCCCAGGGGAGCGTACATTCGGAAATATCTGTAAAGCTTCTCACGTTACGTCTCTATCTACCAAACTACGGTTGTTATCAACAGCTGAAGCTGAAGCAGTAGCATCAGTCCGATTACTTGATCCTCTGTTGTCTTTCCCTCGAGAGTGGGCGTAACCTTGGCTCACGTGTGTTTGTGTCAGTATGTAGTAGCTTGACACACATTCACGTCGAGGGCATTTGTCCCAGATTGTTCGCTGAATTGCTATTGATTATGAGTGTAAGGCTGACACGTTTTGGCGGTGCCCCTTACAGTTTCGCACGCGAACAAATACATACGCACACGCATACCTTCAGGTTGATGAGGCAAATTCTGTCTTTTATTTGGCCTTAGCAACGCGTTTCTAGCTGTTTTTGTTTTCTCGTTTGTCAGGCTTGCTAATATTATGTAGACTTTTCCTCACTACGTAGCTTCTGGGTTCTTCCCACCAATCGTTCCAATATATCACATGCCCAAACTATGAGTTCCTATTTGCTGCGTTTTTTGATTTTATCATACCACTTCACACGCTATTATTTTCCTTTCCCCACTTTCACTTCTCAGGACAACAATAGCTCGCGTAATTAATTTCCTCGCACTATTGTGTTGGAAGTGTTCATAAATAACACTTAATCATTTCTCACTAAGATCTTGCCGTTTACCGGACAAATGGAGTTCTCGCTTCCTAAACTTTGTCTCTGTCCGTTTAGGGTTAAACCTTATTCGCACGCAGCGAGGACATGCTCTGCGAGTCAGGTGATGGCCTTTTCAGTACTTCCACTAATAGTAATGGTACTAATACAAATATTACTACTACTACTACTAATAATAATGGATCTGTGCCACTAATATCTTTTCGTCTTAAGAACGCTTCCGTGAAGTCCTGTGACACCTGGGCTAGACTCCTTACGGGGTTGCGAACAAGTTCTCCGGCCTGAGCGGAGTGTTCAGGGGCTCACTGAGCAAACATCAGAAGAGTTTCAATACCAGACTACTCACGGCGCCAATGTTCTCGGGACTTAGGAAACATGAAGACAAAAGTGGTGTGTACTCCCGACGTGATAAATAGCCCCTAGTGGGCTCCCACATTGGTGCTATTGGTAAACTAGGGTCGCTTTTGTGTGTAACAACTTTCCGTGAACATTGCTTGAGGAAGCAACGTAACATCACGTATAGATGAAGTACGATTTTACAACTTCGATTGTACCAGCGTCTTTGCCGACCTCAGCAAATCACTACGGGTTGTAGCCCTAGATAGCCGTTGAAGCCCCTTTACGACAGCGCTAATAGAGAGGTGATTTGTTGACCTGGTTTATCACAGTCCATGTGTTTTCCCACATTTGTACGTTAAGGGTCATCCGTTTCAGAATTTGACTATCAAACCGACCTACGCCTCTGACCCCGTCCACCTTCATTCTTTTCTTTACAATAAGGCTTTCAAATAAACCATGGTGAAGAATCGGTGTTGAACGCTGTCGATGATGATGATGATTCCACATGCTGTTTGGGGTGCTTTCATGTGCAACTAACAGAACACCCTATCCCATGTATGAACCTGATGGAATAAAACAGAATTGCTTATAGAAATCCTAGATTAGGGTTGACTACGGCAACTGAAACATTGGGGTATGACGTCTTATTCGACTACGCTGTTTCAACTTTGAAAATTCCTTATTATACACCACATGGTGCTCAATCTGTTTAATACTATCGGAGCCGAATTCTACCCGCAACTCCCAAAACAGAAAAGCTATCAGAAACGGCATATCTAAAGCCGTCGTTATGCCTAACTGATGGCCCATGATTGTCAACCCATGCAAAGACAACTGAACAGTTAAAAACCGAGGCAGCCTAGTAGCCAGTTTAGTCGTCGTGCATGTCGACGGGAAGCTATCAGTGAAGATCGAATTACCAGTGTCAACCTATTGTAACTGTGGTATCTGGGTGATTCAGTAGATGAGTGTTAACCCATTTAGCATAGCGTCCATGATCTGTTAGAATATGACTGGCACCTTTTTCCTCCAAAGGGAAGACGATTGAACTGGAAAAGATCACGGTGCCTGTTAATGGTTAGAAGATCCTTGGAGTCATTCGCAACCTCGATTCGTAACTAGACATCAGCTAGATCGAGTTTAGAAAAGCAATTACCACCATTGAGTTTGGTGAACAGATGTTCTGGAACTGAGAGAGGATTCTGATGTGAATCGAGTGTAGCATTCAAGCCTATGGAATAATCAGCACAATTCCTGATCTTCCCATTAGTCTTCTTCACCACAACAATGAGAGCTGCCCAGGAAGAGTAATTGACAGTCTGGATGACGCGTGAATTCTGAAGACTATCGATTTCAGCGCCCAAAAATACAAGATCCGCAGACTGCTTTTGCTGGTGTTCCAAAATCACCTGCATTTGTTCAGCTGAAAGTGACATCGTGGGAGATCCATCGCCACTATCGTAACTCTGTGGTAGCTGGGTGGTGGAGATGGAGGTGGATGAATAGTACTTGATAGCACTTGAGTGGAAAGTCCAAGGAAAGAAGACAAATGAGACCTAATGAAGATCGGCTATATTGAGGATGAATCAAAGAAAAAAAGAGCGCTGCGGTTCATTTGGCTACAACGGTGAGAAATCGATACCTTAGTGAAATATTACAAAAGATCGAATTGTTCGCTAGGACCTGACCGTCCTAACACAACTCGAACCAGGGACTTTCGTGTGCCGAACGAAGCACATAAGTCCATAACTTCGGGTGGTGATACTCTTCCGAATGACAAAGAAACTAGTCAAACACTCAAGTATTCGTACAGACGTACATTAAGCGTCACTCTCCATCCACCAAACGTGATCACTTTCGCCATCCACGAGCTCATAATGTAAATTTACTCTATTGCAACTCTTGGTTGAGAAAATCCAGCTCCGTATTGCACACATCAACCCTTAGGCGATCCGATGAACTTCCTGTGCTACCCCGAATCCTGGAACATAGTGTTTTGTATCAGGTATTGTAAAAGGTGGTTTGGTTCCCTTGAACCTGTAGTATCTAAACTGTCTGTAGATCGCACTTTTCGCTGACACTAATCAAGACTAAGAGATCTAACGGTACTTCTGTTCCTATCTTCCTTCCTACTGCACGAGATTCACCGAACCAGTTGACAAATTTAAATAGTATTTAAATCATCCAAAGGAGGTGACTATTAACCTTTACTGATTTTCTTCCGGTAGTTTTGAGGGGCGAAAACCTGGTTGGCGACGCCAGACTGAAAGTATTATTTAACTGTCACGAAACTCCTTTGTCGTGTCGTACAATTACTAACAAGGGGTGGCAGTCCCTTTACAAGTATCTACAATGACCAACCTACCCCGCAGATTTGGCCAGTGGGTTTTCTTGACAGTTCAATCAATGTTTTTTGTAGTCCAGATTTACGGTCACCTTTCTCCTTGTAACTAAGCAGTCGAACGTTTATGCAAGTTTATGAATTACCGGACATCCCTGTACCAGCTGCTATACGTATATATATACTTATATATACGTATAATACGCATAATATTATTAATATATTTGTACTGTTGACTTCAGTTAAGATGCTTATCACCATCAGCTCCAATACTGTTTCTCAAGCACATGCATACCTATATCCTGAAGGCAAAGGCATTAAGATTTCTTAGGGGTGCACCGTTAAATCAGGGTTCAGGAACTGGGAACTAAAAGAGAGCACTCACTTGGTAAGCTGCTTTTAGTTTTTCATGTACAAGGCGATCAAGTTTATAGTCCTTATTTTTGATGACAGGTAATTCAACAAAAAGTGCTTCAGCTTTATGGTTGTGAACTTTGTTAAACTCACTCAAGTTACACGACATCCAATGCGTCACGCGGATGGGGCGCATTATGCTGACCGCTAGTCATATGAACCCCCGAAACTTGATTCAGGAGACCTCCAAGCATGTGGTGGTCGGAGGAGGTCAAACTGACACAACACTGAAAACTGTGGCGCCATCTCCTCCCCAGATGTCAACCCAGCTCCTTGTTGATATCTCTACACTGTATTGTTTGGTGATTCGATTCACTTTGTGATATTTGCATTTCGGTTGCAGACAAACGGAAATATACGAATGGGTCGTCTTTTTAGGTTTGTCTTTCTTCCGTCATTCCGGATTATTTATACATATCTGTGTTTTTGGTGCGTGGTGACGTTTTGCTTTTTCACACCACGCTGTAAATTGGTAGCGAAAAATTTCTTGCTTGCCGGTCGATAACATTCGAACAGAATTGCAGAATTGCAAACGGGCACGAATATGTACACGAGTCTACGCGTCCGTAGCGCAAGCGTGTGTGTGCAGTGACACGTCTATACACAATCGTTTATTTCCTCCTACTATATAAGCATGTTACTTACGCAATCCCGGGCCACTTGATACTTCACTCTTGTTCGAATTAGACATCCGGAGGTTTATCTGTTCTCGTAATCGGGAGTCATTCTCGATATTGACCGTGTAGTCCTATTATGTGTTTAGTTACGTTTAGTTAGTTTGGTTTACGTTTAGTTTACGGGAGGAGTAAGCTAATTCCGCACACCATTCTTGCTATAGTTAAATGATGCAACTCATGAAAGGTCACCGCGTTGTACTACTGGATAAAATAAACAGATCGTATCGTTCTTGACCCTGAATTGAATGGGTCCGAAGTCTGTGGCTTATCACAAGTTATTTCATATCTGTTGTGAATGTTGAAACAAAAAGGGTGGCGTAACTAGTCTGGCCCATTAGATGTCACATGACCACGCCCAGAGACACTACACATCTTCATTCATCCACTTCTGGGGTATGCTAGGTGGCGATCCACGAACCCAATGTGTCAACACAACGTTCTTTGTCCTCAATTTACCAACGGTTTACGACAGCGTACAACAGCGTAGTCGTTTGGCTTGGATCACTAAGATAGAATTTAATTTAATTTCCTCAGACGCCACATAGGCTGGCATCGCGACAATGTTGAGGTCAGTCAGCCAACCTCTAGGTACAAGGCAGCGGCGTATCGGAAGCCTTCATCTATAGAATCAACTGGATCAGGATCGGGGCTTGTGATTGGGCCTGGTTACTCTGAGCGCCTCCTTAGGGTCAGCTGAGTAACCGGCAGTCATCAGGCTATTGGTTGTTGATGTGGCTGGTCTTGGCTGCTTCGTGGTTTCATGTTTGGCTTTGTGCCGCTGCTTCTATCGGAGTGTGTCCAGCGATTGTTTGCGATAAGCATTGGTTTGGTTTACCTATGTCAGTGTCACCGAATCTGCCAGTGAACTGTCACATGACATGAAAGATTACGAAGCTGAATTAAAAGAGGACGGCTGGGCTCATTCATTCTTAATTACACAGCTGTCGGATTGATGGCTAATGTTTGTTATCATTTGAAATCCCTAAAAGATGGTCTTAAGGTGACATCTGTAAGTGTATGGAAAATGTTCGGTTTGATGTGACGGCTCGACATACGTTAACATCTCACCAATTACCTTGTTGTCTTAGGAATTCAACCGGTGTTACTGATAGAATCAAAACTGTGTGCTGGCTAACTAGAAGGCCAAAATATTCCAAAAACATCACTGCTTCCCCTTACGGTTCCCCATATCTGCATAGTTCCCAATGTTCGGTGTCCTATTTTGCCTGGGTCTTGGATTTTCACTTTTTCCGATTCGTGCACGGCTCCCACAACCACGTTTTAGGATGATCGAATGGTACTCCACGGGAATGAACCCAAGTGTGTGTTAACCTGTTCAAAATTTCCTCTTTTGGTTTATGACCAGACTCGATCTTCTACTCTGTCCTGCTGAAGGACGAAGAACAGGTCGTGTAACTTACCAAAAATACTAACATATAAAGTGGGCTCAGCATCGTTAACATTTAGCGCACACTGGTTATAAGACAGTTCAGCTGAATGTAATTTAAACCATCAGGTTTTTCGCGGAAATTTAACAATACCCTATTGTCTGTTATCTTTGACCGGTCACTTTCATGCAACACCGTTTTATATTTGTGTTTACTGCCGTGTTTATCGTACATTGAATATGAAAGTTCATAAACGTAGGCTAAAACACATGAAGTGAATGTTCATTAAGTACGCACTGACCACCTTGCTCGATTCGATTCTGGTAATTCGCTCATGTCTGAGAACACCACCAATTAACGGCCCTTAATGAACTTTATAAGGTTATGATTATTTATGCGGTTGTATAATCTAGCAACGAGTTGAAGAGCTATCTGTTTTCCCTATGGGTCGATATCTTCGCTTATGACACGGTGGACTTCTGAATCCACCCGTCATGTTTTGACATGGTTGAGGATTCAGTCAAACCAGTGAGTATGCCGAAATAGTGGTTTTCATGATCACACAGGACTGCTTATTTTTTGTTTGTTCAAGAGTGAATTCCGCTTGAAGGCAATCCAGGTAATTCGTATCCCTCTTTCTCTCTGACCCACTTTAGGCACTTGCCGAGGTATTGTGGTGAGCACCGGGGATCGAACAGTGATGGGCCGGATTGCGAATCTTGCTTCCGGCTTGCAAATCGGCCAGACTCCGATAAGCCGAGAAATCAGCCACTTTATCCACATAATCACCAGCGTGGCTGTCTTCCTTGGAGTGTCGTTTTTCGTCATTGCCTTGCTACTGGGCTACTACTGGCTGGAAGCTGTCATTTTTCTAATCGGCATTATTGTCGCAAACGTGCCTGAAGGTTTACTGGCTACTGTCACGGTGAGCGTGTGTCAAACAACTTCTGCTCACGACGTTAAAATAATCTTATTCGGGCCTTTCGGAGGTATTGAATTATGCGTGCCTCCACAACCTTTACGTATTTGTATTCGCGGATTAAAGTATACTGCATACTTGACGGAACATCACTCACAAGGTTTCATACTGTTTGGATGGGGGCCACTGGTCACATTTGTTATCGAGAGATTAGTATGTACTGCACGGGAAATTCCTATAGGGCAGTATAATACCTTTCCTTGACTGTTCTTCAGTCGTGATGCAAACGAGCTACTTCAATGAAATATTTTCAGCTTCTGCTGAACACATCAAACGTTGAGGTGTTAGCCAGGATTATGATATTAAGTACAGAAACGTAGCTATCCAGACTTGGTCATCTCATCTCTGATCCTACATGGTAATACAATGCAAATTTCCTAGGCTGATTAAATCGCATATCACGGTTAGTTGCAACCAGCGTGGCTAAAAAGCAGTTTGGTTTGGTTTGACCCTAGAGCGCAAACTGTTTCATTGTGATTGGTACTAAAAATCCCCTGTCATCTTTAAAAGGAAGAGATTACAAACTTTATTGCAACGTAATAAAGACCGTCTAGAAAGTCCTCACTCCTCTCGGTTTCTTATTGTTACTGTTGGTTTATTAGTTCCTTTCTTACGGTATCTCACCTTAACGCTAACTACTCAGACGACATTGTGGGGTTGAGGGAGGGGCCCCACGGGGCAAATGAGGTCTAGGCTAGTATAGAACATCATAAACGTTTGGCCGCCTTTGTCCATAGTGTTTACAAAAAGCTAATTTCGATCTCTGGGGGGCATCCAATATCATTGATTGCCAATCTAAAATCACGTTTACCATTTTACTTTCCCGACCCCTTATCAGGTTTGTCTGACTCTCACTGCAAAGCGCATGGCGAGTAAAAATTGTCTAGTCAAGAACTTAGAAGCTGTTGAAACTCTGGGTTCGACAAGTACAATCTGTTCAGATAAGACTGGCACTTTGACCCAAAACCGAATGACAGTTGCACACATGTGGTTTGACAACAATATCTATAACGCGGACACGACGGACGACCAATCGAGTGAGTTCATACTTTCGTGTATTCGTAGGCTGCGGACTGCCAGTAATAGTTTGGTTTCCTACCGATTGGGAGTTTCTGACGCACTGTGATGAGGTGACCGTATTTCAGTGGATAGTCGTGAACATATTTTCACGTTTGCGCTTCATTCGCGGAGCTCTTGTGGCGTAGAGTCGTAAACCAATCTCGTTATTTCTTGACTGATCAATAGTTGGTGCTTTCGACTACGGTTACCAGTCATCAGCATCAGGGACAGCAGCATCGGTGTTGACACTGATGCTTCACTGCCATACAACCACAAATTTCAATCATACTTGAAGCCTTAAACGGAAAAAAAGAGGAAATGATAGGTGTGGGAAGGACTTGCTGCTAACCTATCGCAAGCATTCTGAAGTGCCTACACATTCAAACGCCCATTCAGACAGTCTGGAAAGATGCTGACATCGATCGGCCGCCCAATTCTTGCAATATCTCCGGTCAAATGTGAGGAGGATCACAGAGACCCAATCGTGGAAGGCGGACTGCACACCCCTCTGCCAAGTCATAAGTTGTTCCCTTTGAGGTTCAGGCCATTCCAAAAGAGGCACGAAAAACAACACTCAACTCGGCAGACTATGTTTCAGCATGCGTAGCACGTGGCGGATCCACCGCTGTTGGTGTCGCTGGGTATTCCGGCGACTGAAATGTATGCTGCACAATCAAACACCCATTTTTGACTTACGTCGTTAGGAATTTGTGGAATGCATCCGAGATGTCTTTGGTCAAGAGCCTTATATCGTCTCTCAGCAGAAGTCACATATGCCCAACTAATCCGTAATCAGGGGGTCGGATTGCGAATTTTCAAGACCGACTCCATGAATATATATAAAAAACTTACGGGTCTCCTTATGGGTCTTGACCGTTATTCCTGCGGCTGGTAAAAACAAGCTACTGGTATTATTGGGACACTGACCAGTTTCACGTATAGTTTTAAATTGATAGGACCTCGTAGCGAAGTCACAACAACTCTGTCTTTTGAGATTTTGTCTTTCAATAGAAGACCAGCTCACTTTGCTGTGAATGCCTACTCTGTTGGTTCCGTACAATTTGTAGATGTGTTTGCTTCTTCACAACTGATCTGCAAAACTTGCGACTTTACATTTCAATTAGGTGGAGACACGTCGGAAGACAAAGAATCATATAGCCAGTGGGTTGATCACCCTCAAATGATTCGTCTGCAGATTTGACCATCCGAAACCTAAGTTTATCTTTTATTGATTTTGTTTTCACACCGGTTTCATGCTGATTACCCACTAGCTCTGATAAATAGTGTGGTTACGGCACCAAGTTAAAAATGTTTTGTTCATAGCAGTTGTTCCATACTGTTCTGTTTGCGACGCTCACGAACGTCTGTTCAGTTGTTGACGCCGGTAATCCGATTCGCATATACTCATGGTGACTGTTGACCTAACCGACTACTCGTAAAATTGTACATGTACGTCCACAAATGGTTCAGTGTCGGCTTACACTCCTTGTTGTGGTGATGCGTGTTTCCCATTCTGTCCCATCCATCAGAATTCTTCATACGAGTAGGTCATCCGTATGTTATACTTCAACAGGAGCATAAATGCTAGAGTATCTTTCTTGGGAGGACCAAGTAGTCAACTAGATACTTTGTCTGGCTGTTGATTAGTGGACACTGAATTTGACACTATCGATTGTGTTGTCGCCCGTTAACGTGAGTCCTATCGCTTGGTTTTAGTTGCCAACTACGATAAGAGCTCACCTACTTGGATGGCATTGGCGCGAATTGCCATGTTGTGTAATCGAGCTGAGTTCAAAGTGGGCGAAGAAAATAAGCCTGTGCTCAAGCGTGAATGCAATGGTGACGCATCTGAATCTGCCCTACTAAAGTGCGTTGAACTGTCGTTTGGTGGCGTGACAGAGTATCGACGTCAAAATCCCAAAGTTGCCGAGATTCCCTTCAATTCTACGAACAAATATCAAGTAAGGGTCGTTGTTGAATAGCTCTGTAGACCAGTTTTATCTAGCGCGCCAGATATGCTTTTCAGACTGTACTGTTCTTTGTTTATACTTGAGGCGGTTGAAAGCGAGCTGGATATCTTCAACTGTACTTCAACAACCGAAATAGAACCAAAGATCATAGGTCTTCTTTGTAGTTTCATTCTAATATGGATGTTTCTGTTGGCGTTAGACCATATTCAGTTCTGAACATATTAGGAGACCATTTATTGGCTGTTTAGGAGAATTAAGTAAAATTGGTCTAGGATATCGGTTCCATAGACAAATTCCGTCTCAGTTGTGAATAGCGTTTACTTTTTACCGAAAGTGCATCCAGTTATTTTAACTTAACGGTTCCTTTTTGCGACAATCCTCATTTTGTGTCTCACCAATCGATGACATTTTAATCCACTTGTTCTTTTGTTGACTGACTTATTCTGAATTTATTTCTGAACAGCTTTCTATTCACGAGACCAACGACGGAGACGATCGTTTTCTGATTGTTATGAAGGGTGCTCCTGAACGGATCCTAGATCGTTGTAGTACCATCCTACTGGAAGGCAAAGAGGAGACAATGACTGACGAGTGGCGTGACCAATTCAACAGTGCCTATTTGGAATTAGGGGGAATGGGTGAACGTGTTTTGGGCTTCTGCGATGTGCGTTTACCAAAGGAAACATTTGGCAAGTAAGTCTTTGGAGTTCTTTTTTGGTAGTTTTCAGCATGATTCGCTCATCTTCTTTGTCAGATAAAATAATTCTTTTGAACCATCATTTCAATTAATGTTTCCTCACTCCATTATGATGCTAATTTGTCTTGTTAATATTCGCTTCAGACTCGGCAGTTCCGATTTCCTAATCCCACTTCACAGTTCACATTCTATTTAGCAGAGGATTATTCAGACACCCATTTCTGGGACGATCGCGCCATAATTCGAGTAACTACACTAGTTTGGGTTTTACTGCCAGAGTGGTGCTTGTCGTGGCCATTCACTGTTAGTGGCTGTCAACGCATGGTTGTTCCGTGGGCCCATAGCACTAGGACACTAGCATTACAATGGGAGATTTGTGTGGTGGCGTTTAAATGTCTTCATTGGTCAAAGATCTAATCGCAATACTATAAACAGACAAACCGTGTTTACTTTTGTCCGACAACAGCACTCGTCTTAACAGGGGCATGATCTACTACCATGTTCTTGTGAGCGTTGGCGCGAGATTGAGTAGGTGGCAGGCAAGAATTAGTCGAACATTGCATCTAATCATGGTGGTAGTTGAATGAGTCGATGACTCGGTTATTTTGTCAACATAGCCAGACGGGATTAGGGAATCCGGAAAGTTGTGCTTGGTGCTTATGACTCTCACTCTCCACGTACAGAGTGTAGGTTATTTGTAACTTGTTTTGACGACTATGATATTGGAGCTGCCATTTTCATCGATCAAGCTTCTGACTTTGTTTGTTTCCTCTGGATTGCTTGCTCAAAGCTATCGTTAACTCAGTTAATGATAGTTCATCCGTGAGTTCAAAAACCTAACATTTTCTGCATTAGTTCCAACGAATAAGCTTCACCGTACTAGCTGGAAACGAATGGACTGTCAAGAATGAACAACGTTTTACAAATACCTGCCAACCCGACTCCCTTATTACGGTGTGGTTCACGATGTTCGTCACCTCATCAACTTGATGTCTCGCAACAAAAAGTGATGTAGTAGGAGACAAGCAGCTCGACAGTCAGCTTGTTCTGTTGGTTTGTGGTTTGGGGCGAGATGGCTCAGTTGTTGGAGTGCGAATTTACTGACCGGAAGTTTCGTTGTTCGAACCAGGCCTCTGCATCTAGACTTTTCCCGTCTAGGCTTGGGAAACCTGGAAGTATTTCAGCTGTCGTGCTCCATTTGGGTGGCATGGCAGATAAGCACCGAGAGGACGTTACAGCTAGACGATATTTTTTATTTATTTTCGTGGTAGATTTCTTCCGCTAATGTCCAGTGGATGCTCTCGTTTAAGGTAATGCCCATAGGTTGTACAACCAACTATTTCTGGGAAGTCAATAGGATGTTTAATATATAATTTACCAGCTGTTGAGCTACCTAACGGAGCTACATAACGGATGTTCCGAGTTCACAGTAATCCGTCGATGCTGTTTGGGCTCATTATTATTACTTACTTATTGTCATCACTTACCCACAAAAGTTGTTCAGGAATGCGATGCACATTCATGGTGCTACTACTTGGGATTTCCGACTGCTCATTAGTTTGACTGACTTTCTAACTGAGGTCACCATAGGTTGTCCAAACGGGGATCTTTGATGTTTTGGTCTTTCCGTGGTTTCATTCTGCTTATCGTTTGCATTCGATACACGTGTTTGCCCGCATAGAGATTTCAAATTCAATGTGGACGAAGTAAACTTCCCAATCACCAACATGCGCTTCGTTGGCCTTATGTCCATGATTGATCCTCCACGTGCTGCTGTTCCCGACGCGGTAGCTAAGTGCCGTTCTGCCGGTATCAAGGTTATTATGGTTACTGGTGACCACCCAATCACCGCCAAGGCGATTGCCAAAGGAGTCGGTATCATTTCAGAAGGGAGCAAGACTGTGGATGATATTGCTGCGGAGCGTGGGATCACCGTACGCCAGGTAAATAATGCGTGGCTGTGACTGGCCTTATATACATATGCATATATACATGAGTATAAAGTTAAACATTTGCTTTCCGATTGTATCCCTTTCCCTTCTTTACTGTTTCAGGTCAATCCTCGGGATGCGAATGCATGTGTGATCCATGGATCCGATCTGCGTGATATGACCCCGGCCCAGATCGATGAGATTTTGCAGAACCACAACGAAATTGTGTTTGCTCGTACCAGTCCACAGCAGAAACTAATCATTGTCGAAGGTTGCCAACGTCAAGGTGCGATTGTGGCTGTGACTGGCGATGGAGTGAACGACAGTCCGGCTTTGAAACAGGCAGATATTGGTTAGTTGATGCGCGGGTGCGCGAGTTCAAACTCTTCTCTCTGACCGGGTTAAATGAGCAATGGAAAGAAATGTTAATTCATGCTTCAAACTGATGGCGAAACATGTTTGATCCAAGTTACTATTTAGTTGTACTATTTAGTTGCATTAATTAGTTGTATAACTTTGCAGAGTTCTTCTACCGAACTGTAAACCCAATGGTATCTGCTGAATAGCAAGGTATCGCTTGTTTCTGCCTGCAACTACCGCAGCCAGATGTGGGCTGTTATCAATGGGGCCACGTAGAGGTGCTCATTTATGTCTACAAATGGGACACTAAAAATTAAGGCTGTTTTCTGCATTTCGATATATTTTTCTACTCATAGCACCTACAAATCAGGATGCTGGATATTTTGGTAGTCCGGAATTCCAACGGTCTGTACGTAGCCTAGAGAAAACTTACAATTTCGCAGCGTTTATTATCATCCCGAGAATTGTACCAACTCGACTGTAGCAAATTGCATTTGAAATTATCCCTATACCTTCCCTACATAAATAGGTGCTGCGTTCATTAGAAGTGACTCTATATCCCTTAGTTGTTTGACACTTCGAAGCTATGTGACGATCGAGGTGTGGGGCAATGATCACCAAAGTCCATAATCACTTCAGTCCATTTGCGTGGTTTTCCCTTGACCTGAGTGTCGGCATCGGTTGTTTGTGGGCATGATCGCGAGAAGCGGTGCTTTTCGTGGGAGGATAACGGACAACACAAACAGGATATGAGCTGTTGACTCAAAAAAAGATAGTTGATTAGTTCCACTAATAGAACGAATCTTCTATCCTTACTGAAACGTGAGAAGACACGGTAGGACACGGAAGGACGGTATGTATACAGCCCTCTTCAAAGGTCGCGGAAAATCCCTGATGGCCCATCTTGCTAAGCCTATTGGTGCTATGCGGAACGGAGGTAAGGTGCCTGTAGAATGGAGTATATTGGTAGTTATTCCCATCTTCGTAAAAGGTACGCGGATGCTGTGTGAAACCGTGGCCTCAGCCCGGAAGTCGTGGTATCGAAGGTCCTCTTTGGTCTTATTCTTCGACGGTTGACTGAACACAGGGAGAGGTAGATTCGCAGAAAACCAAGCTAGGTTCCGTCCTGCAAGAGGATGCATCGATCACATCTTCACCCTCCGACAGATCCTGTAACAGCGACACTGTTTGCATCACCTAACAGTCGTTGTGTTCCTTGACTCCAAAGCTGCCTTTAACTCTGTGGATCGTCAGGCACTATGGCAGTGTCTGTGGAGCAAAGTTGCCCCCCATAAATTCTTGACCTTCCTGAAGGCGCTGTAAGCCAACTCCCTCAGCCGTGTGAAGGTCTACGGGAAGCTCTCACCTGAGTTCACCATATCAAGCGGTGTCGGATAGCTCTGTCATTTTTCAACTTTAATTTTTAACGTCGTCATTCATACGATTATAGGAGACTCACTGTCAGCCTCTAACGCCTATGGGTTTGAAGTGCTACCGGGGAGTCTGCTCACAGATATCGAGTACGCAGACGACATAGTTCTTCTTGGATCTCATGCTGTGGCACTGCAAACAGTATTGAATAATCTGAATAGTTCTGTCTCACGGTTTGGCACGCGCTTGACACCTGCAAAGTGCAAAGTGCTACTGCAAGACTGGGTAGACTCGAGCCCTAGCCTCATGCTTGTAGGTGAGACGCTTGAGGTAGTAGACAAGTTTGTCTACCTGTAAAGCTGTATCATTTCAGGTGGTCTAGCGAAAGACGATATTTCCATCTGGACTGGGAAGTCTAGAGCAGTTTTCGTGAACCTGCGTCACCTGTGGCGTAGACGTGACATCAGCTTATCCGCCAGGGGTCGAGTTTGCCATGCTGCGGTGCGATCCATATTGCTATGCGGGTCAGAAACATGGCCACTGCGTGTCGTGGACGTCAGAAGACTTTCAGTATTTGATCATCGATGTCCTCTGTGCATTGCCCGAGTCCGGTGGGAACACCGGATCAGCAATGCTTAAATACGTCGAATAGTGTTCGGACGAAATAACTCGCCCATGATAAATCAACTAATTACAATGTGTAAGTTGTGCTGGCTTGGTCACGTGCTCCGTACGCTGGTCGACCGAACTATTCGAAGGCCTCTTTTTGCAGAACCACGCGAGAGGTGGAAACGAGCCAGACGAGGTCAAACAATGGCTTGGTAGTGAAGTGTGAAAGCCATTACTACCAAGCTCAGCTGCACTGGCTATTGCCGTCTCCCTGGAACTCCGAGACAGGCCACATCAATGGTTAAAGACAATGTCAGACATGGACCAGTGGCACCCTCAATAGCGCTCATGCCTCCAAGCGATTGCCTCAATGCATGGCTCCCTTCCCAATCCCTTCACGTAAAAGTCTATTGACAGAACCGTATTTACGCACCAATTTGTCGGCACCCACCTCCAATGCGCAGCCACCTACCTTACCTCCCCAAATGATTGATAAACGAAATTATGGCAGTTACAAACACTGCACGACAAGTACGCGGTTCTTACAGCTGATGGTGACTCTCCAGTTGTTCCGGAAAATTTGCTTACCAGTGTACTTTTTCTTGAAGGGCCATTGTAGCTATATAGTCTCACTGTATGTGTATTCAAATTTGCTTAAATTAACGACGATGGTGAACAATGCTATCAAGGAGCAAATCACTCGACCTCCGATCATTAGTTCTCGGCTACTCGGTTGCAGACACACAGTGCTGTCGTACATTGATAGATTAGTTGCACAGTCATGATGGATTCACTCGCACGCGTGCGTACATTCATTGGGCCAGCTGGTTGACTGTTGGTATAATTGATTTTACGGTCAGTCCGATCGCTTTATAAGCTTTATGCAGTCCGGGTCAACAAATTTGTGTCAAATCACGTATGTTTTCTATGTGAATATGGAGTTGCATCTGAACGACCACCATTCACCGTAGGTGCACCTACCACTTGTCACTGCTGCACCCTCAAACAGCCGAGTTGCAAGTTTGTGTCTGGTTGTACGTCCGGGTCGTCGTCAGGGAAGGACTGGTAGAGCTGACAACTGTCATGCAAAAAGTGCAGATAAATCGATGTGCGAAATCGTTGAAGGTATCGGAGGAGGCGAGGCTTTAAGAAAATTTCTGATGGTGGAAAGCCTAAATCAACGATCCTCGCTGTCATCTATTTGCTTAGCGCAAGTGTTCAGGCATAACTCATTACTCATTGCTAGAAACACCTCGATGACCTACTATCGGTTTCGCTCTTCGTGGAACGCAAGTAGACGTAGCCTCCGGCGTCACACTATCCTTAAACACCAAATTGCATGCAGTTGAAAAAAATGTACTCATACAGAATACTTTGGTGTTAACGGGAGATCAACTGAATCTCTCCTTTATGGATGTGCTGTTTCCTGAAACACCGAGCAGCCTCCTTGCAGCACATTAGCTTCATTTAGGCGTCCCGTCATTACCAAAGTAGTTTAAAAATCAGTGTAGTTTTCCAAAGGCTGTCCATAGTCTACAAACTTCCAAGGTCTATTACTTTTGAAACTTGAAAATATTCCACGAACTGTGGTTCACAGGTATCTCAGCTATCAAGGCACGAGCTTGTGATCGTGATTCAGACTCAGTTCTGGCTTTTTACTGTTCCTGTGTAGGCATAGACACATGGACAATAGTCCGTCCCTTGTGCCTCCATTGCATCATATGACAGTTATGCGCCAAAAAAACGTCAATGCTCAATTATATGGTTTCTGCTGATCCATCAACATGGATAGGCTGTTCAAAGCTTCATTGGTACATTATTTCGACCCGTATTCTCTGTGAATAAGTGCCTTCCGGACCGTCTAGGAGGAATTTGATGGCGGCCGGTAAATAGCTGCCATGTCACCCAAAGGAAGCACGAGGGCTGGGATATTGCCAGGTTTCCCAAACCTAGACAGGAGCGTCCGAGATTGAGTGGTCGGGTTTTGATCACGAACCTACCGGTCAGCGAGTTCGTACTTTAACTACTGGGCTATCTCGAGCCGAGTCTATATAAACTGCCCGATTCATTTTTACAACAGCTGACCCATGACCTACACTCTTAACATACCGATAATTGCCTGTGACCGTTTATTTATCATCTGATCATCTGACCTTCCGTAGTTTACTGCTAATTTCAAGGTCTGTCTCGTCTTGCAAGGTCTTTTCCTTAATCGCTAGATAAGTTGCAGAAGTACTCACGCATGCCGTACTTTCCCCAGCAGCCACCGCTTTTGAAGAGAGATCTGAGAACTGCTGAGAGAACTACTGTGGAGTGTTGTCTCACCAAGAAATAGCTATTTGAGAAGCTCATGAAATAAATAAATAAATAAATAAAAAAATAAATAAATAGGCTGTTTGGCTAGGTAGGGATATATCAGATGCCACATTTTTGACCGGTCAAATGAATCGAGCGCACATTTCTCACTGACGTGTGCGTTGTAAGTAAGCTTACTGTTAGAAATAGAAATTCGGACGTCTTCATTACTGTGTAACTTAGTCGGCCTCCGCAGCAACACTAGCGGAACAAAATGGGAATGGGTGAGTCTTAGTGACGGTTAGCTGAGCTCTTTTGCCACCAAACGAACACAATCAGAAATAGTTTCTGGTCGCCGAGCATATTTATGTGACGTGCTGGTATACATCCGGTTTAATCACTGCTAGTTGCTAAGGCGATCCCTACCAAATAAACACAGCTTATGAAACACAGGCCGATTGTGTCTCTATCAAAACAGGCGGTAACAGCAGGACAGTAGTGATGCGTCGTCAGTTAGTCGACTGATACTTCCAAAGCTATAAAAATAACTTTCTGGTCGTTTGCATCCTGGCCAGAATTTTGATACGTTGGATTTCCAAGACTCATTCTACTCAGTTGATCAGTCTGTTCTTAACACACTTGTTCAGCAAGGACTACCCCTGAAATTTGTGAGTATAATGAGTTTCCTGTATTTCCAGGCGTGTGAGCCCTCCAAAGCTTTCGTACTCAAAGTGGTTTCTGGCAAGGATAGCCTCTCTCTCCATTTAGACTCAGTTTTGTGATCAACGGGGTAATGAGATGAAACCTGGATGATCTTCTAAGTCATGGTGTTCAAATAGCTAACGAAAACGTCGATCCGGAATAAACTTCGTTCCCGTCTTCTCGGAGGAAAAGGTGTTTTCGCGTGAACTGACCGAAGTCATCCCGTCCTTTAGCATGCATTTGGCACCCAAGAAGTTTAAGGTCATGCTGTTGAACATGCTATCGCCAAACACACCATTTACCATTCAAGGAAAGTCACTGGAGGTTGTGAGGCGTTTATGTCTTAGAAGTTGTATTAGTTCACTTCTTGCTATACTCGACAGACAAATGTGCTATCGCTCTCAAGCGCGGTTATCATTCCTGCGTTCTCCTTATCCTTGTTGAACGGAGCCGTAGCAACTGGAATCACTGTATTTCGGCACACGATTTGTGAGCTGACAAACTGAGACCGAAGTTAGTTCAGATTATTGTGTGCGGTGAGGTTAATATTGTGAGCTTGCGTCACGTGTTTTATGGCGACAAGCTGCATACATCTGAATCCCTATGGGCTTGTGTATCAGGTTACAGAACAAGATGTCTTTATGTGGCTGTGACGTGGTCTCTGCCAGACGGTTCAACCGTCATCAGAATCATACATCGTGCGAGTTGATGACAGTGAATTCGTGATGAGCTAATTAAAAACCCATTGTTCGGTTATTTAGCGCAGTTTTCAGTCGAAGAGTGTATCCAGCACCAAATGCTACGGTGGCTTAATCACCGTTTACCGAATAGGATGCTGTTTTCCTTGCTCCATTCGGGGTTGCGCAACCAGACAGATGATCTTTGTCTTGGCAGAGGAAGATGAAATTGAAAATGAAAGGTCTGAGTACTATCAGTACGATGATGGTGTCCTCGTGAATTTCCTGTGCATGGTTGGACAGGCTGCAAGATATGGCTGATAATCGATGTGAATGGTGTTTTCAGTTTTCATTCAGATTTCCTGAGTGGATGTCTGGACGGGTGGACGGATTGATTATAGTAGGCTATCGGCAGGTCGATTTTCCGTTTACTTTTATTCCATCCTTCAAGTTTTTCAAACACATGATTGCACGGTAGTGGGGCATCATTATTGAACACTTGTTCTGTCGATGATGAGGATGATGTTGCTGACTCGAAGATCAGTAACAGTGGATTACCAACATCAGAAAAGTATGGCGTTTTTTTACCGCCATTCACGAGCATAGTCTTGGTATAACATCGTTTCTCATCTCAACTGTATATTTTAGGTGTAGCCATGGGAATTGCCGGGAGTGATGTGAGCAAACAGGCGGCGGATATGATTTTGCTGGACGATAACTTCGCCTCTATTGTGACAGGTGTTGAGGAAGGACGAATCATTTTCGATAATCTCAAGAAATCCATCGCCTACACACTAACCTCCAACATTCCTGAGATCACTCCATTCCTTGTCTACATTTTGGCCGACATACCCTTGCCGTTGGGTACGATCACCATTCTATGTATTGACTTGGGGACAGACATGGTATGTCGTATTTTATTGCTTTTGTTCTTATCATCGTGACCAGGACCATCATAACTTCCTCAGCTTAAGAAGCCGATTGAAGTTAACTCTACTGCTCTTGTTGATTCACCTAATGGCTTTATCTATTGGTGCTAGAATATCGATCAATCTTTTCCGATGTATGTTAGATCTGTCTTGTTTGGCAATAGAATGCGGTGCCGCAATTGCCATATGACCTTGTGCATGAAAATTTAGCGCAAATCGTTCTAAGGTGGTTAGCGCTTGCTGTGGCTTGCAACTGACCTCTTCAGCGGTCGCGGTTTTGTGACGTAGAACACTACGTCATTATTTCGTCATGAAATAAGCCACATGAAATTCGTACTGTGGGTCCAAAAACGGAGACCTACCAGCGCGGTTTTGCACATCGCAAATTTGTTTTCACACACAATGTCATGCATATTAATCATTCCTCATAATAATCGACTTGGGCTCTTTTATCGTTCCACTTCACAGGTACCTGCCATTTCATTAGCTTATGAGGAAGCTGAGGCCGATATCATGAAACGAATGCCCCGCGATCCACTTCATGACAAACTGGTCAACGAACGTCTCATCTCAATGGCTTACGGTCAAATTGGAATGATTCAGGCGTCCGGAGGTTTCTTTGTTTATTTTGTCATCATGGCTGAGAATGGTTTTTGGCCCACCAGGCTGTTGGGAATTCGTGAAGAATGGGACTCAAAGGCTGTTAACGACTTGGCTGATTCGTACGGACAAGAGTGGGTGAGGACTTTGTTTCTCAGCAATCTCACTGTCCGTTGTTGCATTCGGTTAGGTATGATATGACTTGTTAGTAGTCATCCCCGCAGTCTGTGTACATTATCTCAGGAAATTAATCGGCGTGAGGACCGTCATGGGCTAGATTCACGGCTAATACGAGCAAAATTTCTACTATCGCTAGAATATATGGCATCCATTTTGACACTGTTCTCAATAGTCTCCTCCAGAAGACTGCCATGAGGCGTGCACATGAACCGTCCCTTCCACTCCTAAGAAATGGCTCATAATCGCCTGAGACAGTCCATACAATCAGATTGACTATTCCTCGTAGAATTAGACTCGCTTCGATCGGATTTGTGGTACAACGACAGCAAGGATCCCTATTTTAGTTTTATTCCCATCATACGCAGTAAGGGCCGACGAGATCCCGAGCTTGGTATTCTCACAATTTCCATGTGTGCCACCAGTTGTTCCTGTTTGACACAGTTTTGCTCCTTTGGTACTCTCACGATTATGGCAATGTTCCTATTCCCCTTGCTAAATCTTATATTGTTTCCGCATTCTTAGACCTACACTCAGCGTAAGCGTCTTGAGTACACCTGCCACACAGCCTTCTTTGCATCCATTGTGATCGTGCAGTGGGCCGATCTGATGATTTGTAAGACTAGAAGGAACTCAATTTTCCAACAAGGAATGTGGAACCATCATTTGACCTTCGGATTGTTTTTCGAGACCAGCTTGGCCATCTTCCTTTCGTATTGCCCTGGCCTGGAGAAAGGTTTGCGGATGATGCCTCTACGGTGAGTGATCTTTACTTGATGTCTATGCAGGAGGACACTTAGTGGTTAAAGTAGACCCTAGTTCTTTGCTACCTTTTTTTCGAGCTTAGCTCACCTGCGCTTGGCATATACCGAGGCCCGTTGATCTGTTTTTCGGTGACAGGATTGAGCCGTTTTTAGAGGAGTAATCATTCCACTATTAAGCTAGACTTGTGCTATTTGGGGTCGGCTAGTTGGGCTGGTAGTTAAGTGCTGTGGTAGATTTAGGGTTGCCTAATTCGGGGTCTGATGGATCATCACACACAAACGTACGCCTGACAGATCGACCAGTTGTTACGCCACTGTATAATCGCCTTTATATGGAGCGTTCGCTGGCAACCTCGACAGCTCTATACAACAGTGTCCCATTTCTCCCGGCTGAAAGTTCGACGTGCAGCTAGTGATACGGCGGAGCTTTTCAACGCCATATGCCTTCGTGGTGTAACACAAGCGGCCTGCGTAGATGATGGTGCTGCAGTTGCCACGCCGTACCTAACGACTGAGAATCAACGAGTTGGTGACATCATTACCTCCGGACACTCTCAGTACTGTATGTATGCTGTTCGAATCCTTTTCATAGATCCCTTCATTCTTGTTTTTTTGTGATGGTGAACTAAAATATATAGCGCATATGATTTAGTTTTCTACTTTGCTGTCCCTTGACCGTCAACTTTGGACGGTCCACACTGTTGCCAAAACCTTGATTACATCTCAAATAATTTGTTTTGGTTTGTAACACTGATAACATGACATGTACTATTAAGGTTATTTAACTTTGCAGCCGGCTGTTAGGCACCATAGCATCCTGCTGGGACTCGCGCAACAGTGTAGTCATAACCTGATACGGTCTTCTAGTTCATACACATAAAATCATCCAGAAAATGTGGAGTAAACATTCATTCTGAAGGCGTTCACGTCTGGTTTTGCATTATTGTGGTGTATTCCATGCGACCTTGTCAGGTGCCAAGGCCAAATGTTTGAAACGCACTCTGTGTGTGTCCTGGAATTCCATTTGTGGGTAGACGTGTTAAGCATCCTGATCTACTTTGGACGCACACACCACGTGCGGTGGTTCGTCCCTTAGAGCACGTTTACTGTGGCACCTATATGAAATGTGGAAAACGGCTGTCTTACCCCACGTCACGACAAATGAATGTACATAATTAGTACATTGATTCAGTGAAAGTCATCCAAAGATCAACTGAAACTTGGGGAGCTGAACCACGGATTTTTTGACAGGGGCATGTGAGTGACACATGACGCGCTTTGACATTTCGCTGGTGATTGGCGCGTGGTGGTGACGGACCAAGAATGTTTTGTAAAGGCGAAGCATCATCAAAGTAGTTGAGTTCATTTTATTCAGTGGCTTGGTTCTACTCTTTACGATGAGTCCTGACGCTTTGTGCCAACTCTGGTCCAGTTCTTGTGCATGAAATAGACACAGAATGGCAGAGGAATTCCAGAAACAGGTATCAGTAATCGATGGGACTCATGCGTTATGGTAATTTCCTCTCGCATCCGAATTAAGGTGAAGTTTCCCACTGATTAATATCGAGGTGTCGTCAAAAACTATCGGCGAATTTCTACGTAATCGCGTGTCATCGCCGTTTTCTAGTTTGACACTCATTCTGTTAGAAAGCGTGTTTTCGGTTGTGTAACGGGTACTTCCATTGAAGAATGTGTCCAGCACCAGAAGCTGCGTTGGTTGGGACATGTTTTACGCATGCCGAATCATCGTTTACCGAAAAGAGTACTATTTTCTATACCCAATTCGGAGTGGCGTAAACAGAGAGGTGGCCAACCCATGACCTGGCAGAGGAGTATGAAGGAGATCACGAAACGCTTGGGTGCTGTCGGTGCTACTCGCCTTCCAGGATGAGGACCGCGTGATCCT